TATTGGTAATTTACCATTCAGTTTACTCCATGTTACCACTGGCAATGGCCTAAACTTCCAAAGTAATGAACTAAATTCAAGCACTAAAGCCGGTTTTTTGAAATCATCCATCAGCAGCCTAATAAGAAATTCAGAGGCGTGACGGAACTGTGGTTTGGAAAAGTCCCAGAGGAATTTTTAAATTAGCGCTTCAAAATAATCTCACTGAAAACCGATGTGAATATTAAAACTGGCACTTGTGAAAACAAATGCTAAAATGCAAATTAATATAAGACTGCAACTTAAAAAGTTACCTTCCGCCAAAAATGCACATTAATCTGAGTTGCTCTCCCGCTTTCACGGATACTTCATCTGGACTAAACCATATCCTATGCACAGCGGTTGTATTGCTCTCTGAAAAATGAACCTAGAATTTGTTCATACAGATGCAAGTTTGAAAACACAATATAAAGGCTGAAAAGTAAGCAAGTAAACAAAACTAACTCCGATTGGCATTCACGATAAGCTGAAACTCATTGCCAGCTCGATATTCACCCTGTAACACCGGTGATGTTGCGGCGCATTGATATATTAAATTTTGCCTACCGTCGTGAAGCTCCACCGCCGAGAAGTGTAGTGTGCCTGCAAGGCCTTTAGAATGTTTTAAAAAATAATTTCCAGCTGTTCTAAAATCTTTCAAGATATACTACTTCAAAAGGAACGTGCAATTTAGAGCAGCGCTATAAAACTCGCGCGCTTAAGCGCAGTTGGAAGCAAAGTTACTATCGTATAGAAGTGACAATCAATCCCTCTTTGACTCGTTCATTCATTTTGTTAGTAAATTAGTATTAGCGTATGCCATCTAGCCAGACTCTTCATCGGCTTGCCTCTAAGCAACTCGCGAAAAAGGAAGCCACTGATATCCCGCAGCGTGCAGTGGTGCTGACACTGATATTACAACCAATCCCTTTATGATTTAAACGACGCCCGAGTGCCTCTATCTCTTATAAAAAGCGAATGAGAGAGTTTTGATTTTGCTATAAAGCTTAAACCTTCTTGAGACAAACCTAACTCACGCAGCAGCACGCTCATTGGAATAGGCAAGATTTTTCTGAGGAAAAATGAAGCCTCTGGCTGACGATTTCAAATCAAAAATTTCTTAATGAAAATTGCTTGTTATAAGTGAATTTACCAAAGTTTTTTGCTAACCGAAAGTTACTACATGTGCTTCTGAGGCAGATTTACTTTTATGGTTGCGTCACCACATCAGTCTGGCCGCTGCTGCATTCTAGAACAAATTTGAAACTGGACAACCTTCTGTGTCCACAGCTATGTGCTTTCGTCGAATCGTTTCAATGACACTCGTTTGCTGCGCGTCTCGATAGAGCCAGAAGACAGATGGCTTTGGTACACCGTGAGGAACATCGCACCGAATGCTCAGGCTTTTTCCTTCGTCCACGATCAAACGACGAATGCCACGTGGCGCAAAATGATCCAGCACTAAACTAGTCCTTTCTTACGCAACTTTTTGATCCCTACCAATCCACTCAGCATTTGTGACTGAAGGGCACATTATCGATTCAGTCAGTTTTTAGCTCTGCAAAGAATTTCCTTCTTTTTGGAAAAAGTGAGTGGATGAAAGGTTTGATATTAATGCATTTCAGCTGTCTGTTGACTCTCAAACAACTCAAAGCGTGAAATTTGTGCATGCAAGCAGTTTGAAATTTCGCCAGCTCTTTAGAAAAAATTTACATCACATAAATTTTTTCAAAGTAAATTCAGATTACCGCCTAGCCGAACATGTATTTTGCTGGATACTGCAGTCCCGAATATATTCGAAGCATAACACTGGTAGTAACCCTGATCCCCAGCTTGTGCTTCGTTAACTATGATTGTTCCACTTTGAGACGGCTTCTGCCATACAATCCGATTACCATCTATCTCTAATTTTTCTCCATTTTTAAGCCATTCAAATCTGCAAAAGATTCTCAATATCAGCTTTTATTGACGACATTATTTCGAGAGTCAATTCAAGAAAAAAAAACCCCCCCAGAATATTTCCATCTTTTATCAAATAAAATATTTTTTGGCTGTTATTAATAATCTCTTGAGTGCTTTTGCCAAAAAATAATGAAAACCCCTAAACCTATGAACTTCTATTGATTTGCAATAAAAATTTACCTAAATTATACTTCATTTGTTAGCAGTTTAAACACTAACCTATCAAATTCCTTCAAGAATTTGATAGGTTAGTGTTTAAACTGATACCAATTTCAGTGAGCTGTAACTCCCGCATTCTACTTCTCGCACTTTATACAAAAATCTATAGTTTCAAAATTTCGTAATTGCCGCAGACACCAGCAGCTTTTTATGCGTTTTTTGCAGCTAGGCAATGCAGAAAACGCATATTGACGAGGGGTTGTCTGTGTGTGTGTGTTCATCTGTATCGATTTTTATGCGTTTTTGCCTATACGCAAATTGCAAAAACGCATATTGGGGCGACCCTGTCTGTATGTGTATGTATGTATGTGTGTGTGTATGTTTGTGTGTGTGTGTTCGTCTGTCCGGGTATTTCAACT